CGAGACACTTGCGTTCAGTTTGCATGGTCAATGCAGTGTTGATGACAACTACGCGGTTTTCACTTTGCTTCTTAGTATAAAGCCACTAGTGTTCCACAATTACACTATTAGTTGGTGTTTCTTACATCTGCAAACAGCTAGTTTGCCTTTTTCTAGCAAGTTTGGCCTAAATCTTGTTAGCCTTTAATGCTAATCGCTAGTTAGCTAGCTAATAAATGTACTGAGTTAGAGCAAACGTAAAAATACAGCGTGATAATACAAGTGATGGTGTAGACCTAAATCAGCATGTTGTTTGTGCAACAGTATCTTCTAAATCAAAAGAGGAATACGCGAAGCAAGAATGTTAGCTACATGAAGTAGCGAAGAGAAAACATTAAATGTAGCCAAAGATTATAGGGGTCCCCTAGGAAACACGCATCACAACTTTGGTTCCTACCCTGTCACAATAACTCCTCCCTGGCATTTTCATTCGTTGTCATGTATTCTAACTATAGAATTTGAATAATCATTCTATTTCCATGATTCCAACACTTCACCCAAGTGTTTTGCTCTAAATCGGAAGTCAAATCGCAATTGCAACAATTGCAACATCTGCTCTTGTCCTTCTAGACCTGTCTGCTGCCTTTGATACTGTGAACCATCAGATCCTCCTCTCCACCCTCTCCGAGCTGGGCATCTCCGGCACGGCTCACTCTTGGATTGCGTCCTACCTGACCGGTCGCTCCTACCAAGTGGCGTGGCGAGAAGCTGTCTCCGCACCAAGTGCTCTCACCACTGCTGTCCCCCAGGGCTCAGTTCTAGGCCCTCTCCTATTCTCGCTATACACCAAGTCACTTGGCTCTGTCATATCCTCACATGGCCTCTCCTATCATTGCTACGCAGACGACACACAACTAATCTTCTCCTTTCCCCCTTCTGATAACCAGGTGGCAAATCGCATCTCTGCATGTCTGGCAGACATATCAGTATGGATGTCGGATCACCACCTCAAGCTGAACTTGGCAAGACGGAGCTGCTCTTCCTCCCGGGGAAGGACTGCCCGTTCCATGATCTCGCCATCACGGTTGACAACTCCGTTGTGTCCTCCTCCCAGAGTGCGAAGAGCCTTGGCGTGACCCTGGACAACACCCTGTCGTTCTCCGCTAACATCAAAGCAGTGACCCGATCCTGTAGGTTCATGCTCTACAACAGTCGGAGAGTACGACCCTGTCTTACACAGGAAGCGGCACAGGTCCTAATCCAGGCACTTGTCATCTCCCGTCTGGATTACTGCAACTCGCTGTTGGCTGGGCTCCCTGCCTGTGCCATTAAACCCCTACAACTCATCCAGAATGCCGCAGCCCGTCTGGTGTTCAACCTTCCCAAGTTCTCTCACGTCACCCCGCTCCTCCGCACACTACACTGGCTTCCAGTTGAAGCTCGCATCTGCTACAAGACCATGGTGCTTGCCTACGGAGCTGTGAGGGGAACGGCACCTCCGTACCTTCAGGCTCTGATCAGTCCCTACACCCAAACGAGGGCATTGCATTGCATTCATCCACCTCTGGCCTCCTGGCTCCCCTACCTCCGCTGAAGCACAGTTCCCGCTCAGCCCAGTCAAAACTGTTCGCTGCTCTGGCACCCCAATGGTGGAACAAGCTCCCTCACGACGCCAGGACAGCGGAGTCACTCACCACCTTCCGGAGACATTTGAAACCCCCACCTCTTTAAGGAAACACCTGGGATAGGATAAAGTAATCCTTCTAACCCCCCCTTAACCCACACTTTTTTGTAAAGTGGTTATCCCACTGGCTATAAGGTGAATGCACCAATTTGTAAGTCGCTCTGGATAAGAGCGTCTGCTAAATGACGTAAATGTAAATTGATTGAAATAAGGCCTAGATTGTTTGCAGCTCTACGTGGCATTGTGGAGGTCATGAAATGGGTTTCCACACAAGCCTAAGATCACCATGCCAAGCGTCGGCTGGAGTGGTGGGAATGTCCATTTAAAAAAAACATCAGTTTTTGCTTTGTCATTATAGGGTACTGTGTATAGATTGATGAGGGGGAAAAAACGATTTCATCCATTTTAGAATAAGGCTGTAACGTAACAAAATGTGGAAAAAGTCTAGGGGGTCTCAATACTTTCCGAATGCACTGTATAACGACACAACAATTTGGACATTTTTGGGCTTGGAATCATATAGGGCTCATAAAATGTATTTAATTTATGGCTCACCAGGCTTGAATTTTCTATCAAAGCTCTAACCAAATCCAGACATAGGCCTATACTTATTTTCCACCATAATTTGCAAATAAATTCATAAAAAATCCTACAATGTGATTTTCTGGATTTTTTTCCCTCATTTTGTCTGTCATAGTTGACGTGTACCTATGATGAAAATTACAGGCCTCTCTCATCTTTTTAAGTGGGAGAACATGCACAATTGGTGTCTAACTAAATACTTTTTTCCGCCACTGTATGCTTTGAATGACACTTCCGGTTTTGGCGGGAAATACCGTGTTACCCAGGAGAAAAGTCATTTATTCTCCAGATGGAACATTTGTAAAATACCGGGAAAATATTCAACCCTAATCGAAACAGGAATAGTGTCTTTCTAATTTGTTATAGGCTGTTAAGGACCTGTAAATGTGGCTCATTTGGCCAATATCCCTTGTTTATTGATGGCGCTGGCTGCGTGGGCAGATGCCCTAATGGGTCACGCACCCAATGCATACGGATGACCGGTACATTTCTCAAATGTCCAATTAAAATCTTCCCAGTCACTTGTCCGGCAGCAAAATGTCCTAACGGAAACCCTGGTGTGTACACTACCAGTCAAACGTTTTAGAACACCTACTCATGCAAGGGTTTTTCTTAATTTTTTTTACTATTTTCTACATTGTAGAATAATAGTGAAGACATCAAAACTATGAAATAACACATGGAATCATGTAGTATCCAAAAAAAGTGTTAAACAAATCTAAACATATTTTATATTTGAGATTTTTCAAATAGCCCCCCTTTGCCTTGATGACAGCTTTGCACACTCTTAGCTTTCTCTCAACCAGCTTCATGAGGTAGTCACCTGGAATGCATTTCAATTAACAGGTGTGCCTTATTAAAAGTTAATTTGTGGAATTTCTTTCCTTCTTAATGCGTTTGAGCCAATCAGTTGTGTTGTGACAAGGTAGGGGGGTATACAGAAGATAGCCCTATTTGGTAAAAGACCAAGTCCATATTATGGCAAGAACAGCTCAAATAAGCAAAGAGAAACAACAGTCCATCATTACTTTAAGACATGAAGGTCAGTCAATCCGGAACATTTCAAGAACTTTGAACGTTTCTTCAAGTGCAGTCGCAAAAACCATCAAGCGCTATGATGAAACTGGCTCTCATGAGGACCGCCACAGGAATGGAAGACCCAGAGTTACCTCTGCTGCAGAGGATAAGTTCATTAGAGTTACCAGCCTCAGAAATTGCAGCCCAAATAACTGCTTCACAGAGTTCAAGTAACAGACATCTCAACATCAACTGTTCAGAGGAGACTGCATGAATCAGGCCTTCATGGTCGAATTGCTGCGAAGAAACCACTACTAAAGGACACCAATAAGAAGAAGAGACTTGCTTGGGCCAAGAAACATGAGCAATGGACATTAGACCGGTGGACATTTGTCCTTTGGTCTGGAGTCCAAATTTGAGATTTTTGGTTCCAACCGCCGTGTCTTTGTGAGACGCAGTGTGGGTGAACGGATGATCTCCGCATGTGTATTTCCCACCATAAAGCATGGAGGAGGAGGTGTTATGGTGTGGGGGTGCTTTGCTGGTGACACGGTCTGTGATTTATTTAGAATTCAACGCACAATTAACCAGCATGGCTACCACAGCATTCTGCAGCGATACACCATCCCATCTGGTTTGGGCTTGGTTGGACTATCATTTGTTTTTCAACAGGACAATGACCCAACACACCTCCAGGCTGTGTAAGGGCTATTTTACCAAGAAGGAGAGTGATGGAGTGCTGCATCAGATGACCCGACCTCCACAATCCCCCGACCTCAACCAAATTGAGATGGTTTGGGATGAGTTGGACCATAGAGTGAAAGAAAAGCAGCCAACAAGTGCTCAGCATATGTTGAAACTCCTTCAAGACTGTTGGAAAAGCATTCCAGGTGAAGCTGGTAGAGAGAATGCCAATAGTGTGTAAAGCTGTCATCAAGGCAAAGGGTGGCTATTTGAAGAATCTCAAGTATAAAATATATATTTATTTGTTCAGCACTTTTTTGGTTACTACATGAGTCCATATGTGTTATTTCATAGTTTTGATGTCTTCACTATTATTCTACAATGTAGAAAATAGTAAAAATAAAGAAAAACCCTTGAATGAATAGGTGTTCTCAAACCTTTGACCGGTAGTGTATATGCACTTTGTGTGTGTGTCTCTCTCTATGTCAAAAGATGGAATCACAGGATGAGGTGTGAGAAAGTATGTGGGTTCGAGGGTTTTACTACAGAGGAAACTACCATTTCCCCTCTAAGCTACCGAAATACATGAAGCCAAAACATACACACTTTGTTCATCCAAGCCCTGGTGAGTGTTTCTGGACAGATGGAAGGACGGATACGGACCACACACACACACGAGCAACTACACCGACGCACGCACGCCGCACACACACACACACATAACTGGTTACTGTTTGATTACTAAGATTGTGCAAGGGAAGCAAAAATGTTACTGGGGTATAGGCTAGCGCAGGGAGCTAAATGTGAGACACCCCTGGCTTAGACTATACACAGGGCAGGCAAGTTGACGGTAACTGACTCTGCGTGTGTGGAGAGGTGTGAGTGAGCTTTTTGACGTTTGCACAGTAAGCTTGAGCAATGTTTTGTTATAATTTGGTATAGGTGTACAGAAAATACGGGGCATGTGTTTACTGTAAGCACTGAATCCTATGTACATGTGCCAAGATCACAGTGATAACCTTCACTGTGTAAACAGATAACTTGAATCGTACCTGTTGAAGAAGCTAGCCAGTGGCCCCAGCCTCTTGGGCCTACCCTCATCCTCTGCCCCCGGACCCATGTGTCTCCGCTGCGGACTCCGCAGACCCCCTTCGATGTCGCCGCCTGGAGACAGCGTCACGTCTGAGAAGTGGGCGCTACCGCCATCGTCCGTCTCCATGGTGACGATGGCGCTGGAGTCGGAGGTGACCATGAAGTCCAGGATGTCTTCGGTGGACACCGACAGCGTGGCGGAGAGCTCCGTGCTCAAACTCGACACGCTGCACACTGAGATGTCGTCGCTGCGGTTCAGTCCTCTGCCTCCCACGCCACTCATCGCCATGACTCCCACACCGCCAGCGCTGGACCTAGGGGCGGGGCTGAAGAGGCGCACCAAGTCATAGCTGCTGCGGGGGAAGGTGGAGGACTTGCGGAGGCCAGCGCTGTCTCCAGACTGGTCCAGAGAGAGGGTAGCGGGGCGCTGGTCGTGGTGGTTCGACCCCAGGGTAAGGCCACTCTCTCCTGGGTGTGGGTGGGCGTGGATGTGCTCGGGATGGTTTATCTCCAGGGTGGGGATGCCAGAGTCCTGGGAGGCCAGGCTGTGGCAGTCCTGATCTTCATGGCCCCGCTCGGGGCTGCCGTAGTACAGGGCGGAGGCCTTGTAACTCGGCAGGGAGTGCTGGATGAGGGGGGGCTTGTTGTGCTCATGGTGGTTGTAGAGGTCTGGGCTTGGTTGTGCTGTGGAGACGGGGTCTATGCTGACCATGCCATTCTTCATTATGGTTCCTCCAGTCGCACCTGGAAGAAACAAGGAATTAATTGAAACAGAGCTGTTATATGGACGAGAGTCACTTCTACTAGTGATAATATCATATGGTAGAGTGATGGTTGTCTGGATGGCGAGGCACAAATGTTTTCCCAAATTCCATTCATATTTTCCTTCAGCGTGACGTTTTTCGAACAACATTAGCCTACAGCTTAATTCATTGGACCAACTTTGGTTTGACAGGTCAGTAGAGCAAGAAAGTCATGCTCCAGAACCTAACTACTGAGAGAAAGTAGGACTAGGACAGAGATTAGGTTCTCTGATGACAAATCACTCTGACCCAGGCCATCAAATAACAGTAACAATGGAGCAGAAACATACAGGGAGGTGAAAGAGGATCCAGCCAGTAACCAGGCTGAAACTGAAACCCCAGACACTCCCCCTCCATCTTATAATTCAGGGGAATCTGAATTAGTAGATGGAGGGAGATTACATTATAAAGTGTGAGAATTTGCTTTGAAAGTGCTTTAATTGTATTGAATTGACACAAGCTTCTAAAAACATTTTCTACCATAGTAAAACTAAAAGTACAGTGTAAAGCGGCAGAGTACTGGCAGTGTCATTGAGTCATTGTGTGGATCTGAAGGAAACTGTGTGATAAACTCTTGTGGGAACTGAGATCTTTTAAGGTCTCCTGAGCAGAACTGGAAAAGACACTATACTGCCGCCGGGTGGGGTGTGTGTGTGTGTGTGTGGGGGGGGGGGGGGGCACAATACTTGTCACCAACTGCTACCAGAAAAAGGGAAAAACATAGTATAAGAAAATAAAGATTATCTGGCAAAAACAATAGCCTACTGGCTCTACATACGTGAACTAAATAAAATCCCTTAACAACAGCAATTTCCAACTGACTAAATTGACCTAAAGCCCCAGTCAGCTTTAACCTGATCAAGAGGTTGTCATGTGAGTTGGGGGGGGGGGGGGGGGGAGGGGGAAGAGACAGAAGAGAGCAGAGAGAGAGAGACAGGTTGTCACTGTGATACTGTTAATATCTAAACCCCACACCCGGTGGAAAGAAAATTAAACATCCATTGCCATGACAACATTGATTATAATTTTCATGATAATGGCTTGTCTCACCAGCCTCGCATTCACTGAGTGGATGAGCGGTAAATCATTTTTATATGAATTAAAATAACATGTCATGCTTAATCTGTATTTGGTAAGAAGCTGAAATGACACATTTCTTCACAGAAGTATTATTTTTAAAAGATGTCATGTGTTTGGCAATTTCTACTCCTGGTCTGTATGTGAATGATTGCCACAGTTCCTGAAAGTAGAACAAGCCTATGTTTCCTGTGTTTGGTTTAGCATCACAGGAAGGCATGGACAGAACATTTCACATTGCATAGAAAAGAACACCATCAACGACCAGGCTACACAAACAACAATGCTTGAGATAATAAAGACTAGATGCTACACTTAATCTCTGTGATATATTACGCACCTCTACTAGAAAGAAGGAGAGAGAACAAAAGTGTAATAAAACATACCAATGTAAAAGGGATTTCTGGCACACATAATACAGACAATGCGACTGAACTGAAGATGACGAAGCCGGACACAGACTTTAGACTCAGTGGAGCTGAATGAGTCTAGGCCTGTTCACTTTGACAAGTGTGAATCCTGCATCCTACCAATCAACACCCCCTGAACACACACACACCTAGTGCAAAATTGCATTGTTCTCAAATTTCATTATTGCTGTAGATTTAGATTTTAGTCATTTAGCAGACGCTCTTATCCAGAGCGACTTCCAGTTAGTGAGTGCATACATTTTTCAGACATATAGATGTAATGAATAGAGACTAGAAAATCATGTTGAGTTACAGTGGCGTGTATTCATGGATGCCAAGGGAAGCCAGACTTCCCCAAAGATTTGACCAATAAAAAAAAACGATGCATCTTTTGTCTCTTTGCGTTTTCATAATCTTCCATCAATTCGCATGTGGCTGAATCTCAGTGGAGAAATCATCAGAGCGAGGGAAACAGCACCACACGGTCTCACTATGTGTAGCCCGTGTATCTGATGCTGTCTGGACTGAAAGAGTATGAAGTTGCTGCCATAGCATTTGATAGATTTTTGTCAGCAAGCATTTGGCCTCCCTTGATAAAACAATTATAAAATAATTTGCCAATCAGCGTTGAGCTGAGCTCAACTGTGGGTTGTCCTGGTGCAGCAAAACTCCCAAGGGTGGCCAGTTTGGATTTGGCTTCACACCAATCAAAATGTCATTTTTGTTTCTGGTCTGCTTGTGTTGATGTCCTGCAGCAGCTAGCTTGCTAATTAGGCCCTTTTCTAAGCCATGGATGGAGATGGGGATTTGGACTTGTGATTTTGACTTAATTCTCTGTACAGGCCAATGATTATGAAGGCGATTCTGTTCTAACCATAAATGAATGTTGTGCCACTGGCCTGAGACGATTGAAGTTTAATATGTAGCCTAGCCCTTTTAGGATCACATTAACTAGCTAGCTAACTTAGCTGGTTCATTGTTGTCCATGCGATGAAGTTAGGCTAGCAAGCATTTTAGCTAGGTAGCCTATGACAACAAAAACTAAAAGCGTACTGTATGACAGCGCCATAGACAGTTTGCCAACACGAAAGAGAGGAGGATGGCATTGGCATTCAACTAGTCTACAAGTAGGGTGAGTCAAAAAGTTTTGCTTCCGCACACACACAGAAATCAGTACCATGGACAGCCACATGATAATTAGCAACATTGATTGGACTAAATTGTTTTTCGTATCTTTAAATTTGTTTTCAGTGTATTAAACTAAGTATAGCCTTGTTGATTTGATTATGTTTAAATGTTTAAGATAAAATGGTGCTGAAATAGCAGAGGCAGTGCTCCTGTTGTCTTTGTGCTGAGTTGCGGCAACTCCATGGTTCTAAATCAGTAGTTGTTAATAAACTGTCGAAAACATTAACTTGCTTGACCATGTTGCAGGTCATGTAACGGTTTGTTACATGCAATATTTGCTTTGTGGAGTTCACCGGACAGATGTTGGTCTCCAGTTTTGTGATGGAACTCCAGTTTTGTGTAGTTTAATTTATTCCGCCATTGTGTAACTTGTCTTTTTTTTGTCACGGCCTTATTGTATATCACGCTGGTGTATGAACGAATGGGTTATAGAGCAAACAACGCAATTATCATAACATAGGTTGTAATATGGATTATTTACAGGCTTGGCTTCCTCAGTGATTTTACCCACGCACCGCTACTGTTGAGCTAGACTGTCACTAGAGGCAAACACAATTAGGCTCTTCCAACCACAATTTATTAATTTCAATACATCACCATTGCCATTGCAGCATTGTGCCATAATCAATAATGTCATTATGAATAAATAGCCTACTCATTTGCATATCATCCACCTGTTGCTCCAGCTCCACTACTAGCCTAAATCAAATGCCAAAAACGACAGTCTACTTACCACTTCCTCTCCGGTTTTTGGTCCCCTCCGTGGAATGTGCCATGTTGATGCTACAGGTGGGCTGTCGACCGGGCAGGTTGCTGTCGGCTCCTCGATCCGCCCATGATGATACGTTGCTGCAACTCACCCTCACCGCTCTCAGCGTAGCTTGGTGTTTGTTTACAGAGGAAAGTGTCTGTTAAGTACGCTTTTAGGACTCATTGACACACACACACAAAACGTGTCATTCGGCAGTGACAGGTCAAAGTACGAACGGTACGAATGTGGCATTTTGGTGGATTAAAAGTGTCACAAAAGCCAATCATGTCAACTTGGCAAAAGACTCGCTCGCGCCCTTGCCAACGTCTCAAATGATACGCTACGTCAGTTTTATACGCTTCCCTTTCCTCTATTCAAGCCGATAGTTTTGCTCAAACGTTACAACAGAGCAGTAAAGAACTACACAATCTGGATTGGTTAAAATTCTATGAAAATACACTAGGTAAGTTTATCCTGTCTTTGTAATAACATACCTGTCTCGGCGCTTCCGCGGCCATTTTAAAAGAAACTTACCGACTTGAGTGCAATGTAATCGAGCCAAGAAAGACTACAGCATCGATGAATTCACCTGTCAGCTGCCAAGGCGTGAATAATCTTCTCATTGTCTCCATCCAATGTCCCCATCACTCTATCAAACAGGACAAGAGTTTCAAAGTAGTCAACTTGTCCAGGAACCTTATGGTAAGTTGAGTCCTTGTAAGATGTTATACTAGGACACCAGATGACAATGAAAACAGTTTGTGTTCTATGCATGAATATTATTTTATAAATGACATTCTGGAATGGATGTAATGCAATGTGGGTTTTCCATTATTTTCACTCAATCTCCTCATATGCAGAATTTAGTCATAATCACTTTCCTATGACCAAATAATGTAAAGTGTATATTTCAGTCCAGCAATTCAAGAGCAAATAAAAGTAGTTTAAATATATTTGACCATATACAGGTAACAAGGCTGTACTATTTATTAGGACTATTGTATCTGTATGAAGCAGATAGTATTTGCCCTGGTTTCAATGTGGAGCCAGCAAGGAGACTAATTTCTGCAGAATACTGCCTCCTTGAGAAAGTGTCTGTCTTTACACCGATATCAAATCCTCTAGGTTGATATTCTCTATAACTATTATGGCCATTGATTATAACACTGAACTCATGGCAGCGCTCTCTGAAGTACAGCGAACATGGTGCAAATAAGACGGAGGTGATTTGGTTTATACCTTTATTAGATGTTAAAAAAAAACTCCACAATGAAACAAAATAATTTACTCTGGGTGTACATGAAATTAGAACAATACAACCACTTGAGACAGTTGGGAGGAGGATGAGGATGTAAGGTATGGGATGAGCTGGGATGGGAGGGTGTCATCTAGTGGGAATGAAGAGATGAGTAAAACTCTGGTTTTCAGTGCTGGATATGCTATGTTCTTCAGACCATAGTACAATCAAAACTCAATTTGTTAAACCTTTTCAATGTAGTTTCAAATGCATACTCTTACTTGATGCATTTTCTCGCCAAACTTTTCTCTTCTCAATATAGAAACAACCTTACCATGGAAGAACATAAAAGGAAAATACATGGGAGTTTGAAGGAAATGCATCCATTTAAGAACTTGGTGACTCGGTCTCATATCCACAGACACACACGCTCACCGTTTTTTTTAAATCACTTCTTTACCCACACCTGTACTTATTTTATTTTTTCTATTTAAAATCTGTTTTGTTTTATTTATTCAACTTAAAAGAGATGGCGTGTGATGTTGACATGCTGCTCTTATTTGAAAGACACTCCATAATAAAAAATAATACAAATAATGGTTGGGTCTTTATTTTCTCAGCTCTCCCTCACTCAAAAATAACGTTTCATGCTAAATGATCAGTGACTTTTCTCCACATACGCTTAAATGTTTAAGTTTACATGCGCCGACATATTGCATATGACCGAGGGCCACGAAAGGTCCACCTCACATTACTTATGCAATCTCAAATTGCTCGGCCGGTTCAAAGTTAGCTCTAAAACTAAGTGCTGTACAATTAACTCTGTACAAATCTTGGGATTAATAAACACCTGTCCATTTTTCTGCTCAAAATATCAAATAAAGTTTCAGTAATAAATTAATGCTTGGATGAAAGTACTGCTGCACTGCCACAGACTTAAGTGTTTTCCACCTACTTTAAAAACAAATGTTTAGTATTTAAGTATTCCTGAGGGACTGACAACTGTCTAAATATAATAAAAGAATTGAAAGCAGCCTGACATTTTCTGAGCAGTCTTTCATTCACGTTTCGATCGGTTTAACACAAGTGAAGAACAAACATCACAATTATGGGGCAAAAACTGAGGCCCTGGCAAATTGAAACGGTTTGCTATTGACTTTGCCAAACCAACTCAAGATACCACTGTCAATTAAGAGGTCTATGAATAGGAAAAACATAGGATCAATGACTGTGCTCACAATGGAGACACTGTGCCCTGTGACAGTGCATTAAAACCAGTTTGTGCACACGTTGTTGGCAGAAAATATTTTGGACTGCGCAAGGGATGCATCACAAGAGTACATGGAGGGATGGTAACAAACATTTGTTGCCTGTGCTTCAATTCCTTGGTCTTCTGAGGGCGAAAACATTTACCCGGCTCTTGCCCCCCAAAAAACAGCATATTAACTAATATTTTGAAGGGGAAGGGAAACAAAAACTGAAATAACTGCAGGGATATAAAGATATGCACAATGCATTTAGTCTAAGGATGTGTGTTAACGCAGGATTTAATAGTCAATCCACAGGCCACAAAAATGATCGAACCAACATTTTAGGGCCTCGGATTAAATTGAGTTTGTGCACGTGCACTTAAGAGGGTTTGGGGTACAAATATGTTTCGCATTTCTCTTGATAAAGATCTAGCACACAATGTAATTTTGAACCAATCTCTATACGTGTTCAATGCAGACACACACGTACACACACAAAAAAGTGAGACATTTCTGGATACAGGCTACCTTATACCAAAAAAGAAAAAAACACACATCTAAATAAAAACTAAATATTTTTGTACTTCGGTGGAATTATGTTATTTTTGGTTGATCACCTTTTCCTTGAGTTAAGTAGTGTCAGCGTCTACATTTTATTTATTGCCTTTAATATCCTGCTTCTGCTGTAGACCTTACAGTCCAATGAACATAGTGATACTATATTCTTTGTACTAGACAGTCTGAATTTGTTGCCCTCTGATAAGATTTAAATCAAATACCTGTAAGTATTTACTTCAATTGTTATTACAGGCCAGTTAACTTACTAGTTAAAAGTTCTTAAAATAAAATCTTAAAATCTTCTTTTTTTTTTAAACAAGCCCACATAAAGCGAGAACCATCAGCAGTCAATTATTTCTCTTATTTTTTCCTCTCCAAAAGTTCCTTCCACTCTGCCTCGACAACAAACAAAACTACAGGATCTACAGATCACGGCCACAATATCGAAACTGAAACTGCTACAGTAATTCATAGCACCAATTGTTTGTACTATGGAGTTTGCAAAAATGTTGATTTCAATTGCACCAAATCGGTGCCTCTGTAGAGATGGCTGTAATTAAATATTTTTGCAAAGGGCCATTACTCCCCAAATTGAACTCAAACTATCTTTTTTTCCTAGCTTTTTTGTTGTTGTTGCATTGAACAGCAGTTTTCAAATATTTTCTTATTTGCAAATTTTTTTTTTTTGTTGAAGATTTATAATTTTTTTGCCTCACAAACCATACTATCTACGTCTACTACTAAGGTTCTGAAAAACCGACAACCACCCTTCAAAATCATACTAATTTAGAGCAACTTTGCACACTTCTGGAGGAGGGATCTTTGATACAGATTTTTCAGAGGAAAGATGCACACAATCTTTCTCTTTCCTTCACATTCAGAAAGGCACCCCTGCTACCAAAATACACTTCTAAGTTCTTGCACAACTCAAAAATCAGCACATTCTTTCTTCACTTTCTGAATGATAGGGATGGAGAAAGAAAAAGAGGATGCAATCGCGGTGCTTTCATACTAAGTTATGAAGAGCAGCATCACAGTCAGGTCATGGAAATTGTAGCAGTTACACTAGAAACGAAGGAGTGAGACTAGTAGGACAGGCACAACCATTCGGACACCACAACTACCAGTATCCTAGTTTAAAAGCAAAAAGAAAGTTGGAAAAACCTACAGAGGGAAAAACAAAATATTCCCTTATATCTAAGTGTGACTAATGAAGATTAATGTCTGGAAGAATCAACTAAAGCAAATCTAAAATGCATGTCTTCAGATATGGCATCACATGAAGACATGTAGAACATATTTTTTGAGTTTTTCCTATTATTTTCGCTCTTTTTTTTGTTGTGGTTGTTGATTACACACGATTCAAGTTAGTAAATGAAAATCAGCAGGGTTGGGATGTGGAGGGGAGGTTCCTCTGTCCATAAGCCTTTGGTTTCCCGGTCCTGAGGTCTCCCCCATATCTGCCAGTAGAGGTGCAGTCAAACGAGAAGAGGTTATATCCTCTCGACAATAGGCTTCCTCTCCACAGAGCTAGAGTTATCAGATGTTGCTGCTCCCTGCAGGAATAAAGACAGTTGGTGAGAAAGATGGCCTCCAGTCAAGTGAGCTTGTGCACAGGCTATTTGTTAATTTATCCTCAGCTTAAAGCAAAACTGAAACGTTTTGTATTAGATCACTGATTAAAATGTGTTAACTGGAACTTGTTTTAAGATGGTGTCACTGGGGGGAGAGAGAGAGTGCTCTGGTGTTGGCCTGGCTGACAGGTATTTCTATTCTAAAGCACTCTGAACAGCTGACACTTATAGGAATTACTATGCTGGCTGTGAATGCTGATGACTTGCAACTAAGATACACATTTTAATATTTGTAATTCAGTTTAAACTAAGTAGTTGTACAGTACAAGTCAAACATTTGGACACAACTACTCATTCAAGGGGTTTTCTTTATTTTTTACTATTTTCTACATTGTAGAATAATAGTGAAGACATCAAAACTATGAAATAACACAAATGGAATCATGTAGTAACCAAAAAAGTGTTCAACAAATCTAAATATATTTTAGATTCTTCAAAGTAGCATTCCTCATGAAGCTGGTTGAAAGAATGCCAAGAGTGCACAAAGCTGTCATCAAGTCATTTGCCTTGATGACAGCTTTGCACACTCTTGGCATTCTCTCAACCAGCTTCATGAGGAATGCTTTTCCAACAGTCTTGAAGGAGTTCCCACATATGCTGAGCACTTGTTGGCTGCTTTTCCTTCACTCTGCAGTCCAACTCATCCCAAACCATCTCAATTGGGTTGAGGTCAGGTGATTGTGGAGGCCAGGTCATCTGATGCAGCACTCCATCACTCTCCTTGTCAAATAGCCCTTCCACAGTCTGGAGGTGTGTTTTGGGTCATTGTCCTGTTGAAAAACAAATGATAGTCCCACTAAGCCCAAACCAGATGGGATGGTGTATTGCTTCAGAATGCTGTGGTAGCCATGCTGGTTAATTGTGCCTTGAATTCTAAATAAATCACAGACAATGTCACCAGCAAAGCACCCCCACACTTTCTCCTCCATGCTTCATGGTGGGAACCACACATGCGGAGATCACACTTCACCTACTCTGCGTCTCACAAAGACACGGCAGTTGGAACCAAAAATCTCAAATTTGGACTCATCAGACCAAAGGACAGATTTCCACCGGTCTAATGTCTATTGCTCGTGTTTCTTGGCCCAAGCAAGTCTCTTCTTCTTATTGGTGTCCTTTAGTAGTGGTTTCTTTGCAGCAATTCGACCATGAAGGCCTGATTCACGCAGTCCCCTCTGAACAGTTGATGTTGACATGTGTCTGTTACTTGAACTCTGTGAACCATTTATTTGGGCTGCAATCTGAGGCGCAGTTAACTCTAATGAACTTATCCTCTGCAGCAGAGGTAACTCTGGGTCTTCCATTCCTGTGGCAGTCCTCATGAGAGCCAGTTTCATCATAGCGCTTGATGATTTTTGCGACTGCACTTGAAGAAACTTTCAAAGTTCTTGACATTTTCCAGATTAAGACATGAAGGTCAGTCAAAGTAATGATAGACTGTCGTTTCTCTTTGCTTATTTGAGCTGTTCTTGCCATAATATGGACTTGGTCTTTTACCAAATAGGACTATCTTCTGTACACCAACCCTACCTTGTCACAACACAACTGATTGGCTCAAACGCATTAAGAAGGAAAGAAATTCCACAAATTAACATTTAACAAGGCACACCTGTTAAATGAAATGGATTCCAGGTGACTACCTCATGAAGCTGGTTGAGCGAATGCCAAGAGTGTGCAAAGCTGTCATCAAGGCAAAGGGTGGGTACTTTGAAGAATCTCAAATATAAAATATATTTTGATTTGTTTAACACTTTTTTGGTACTACATAATTCCATGTGTTATTTCATAGTTTTGATGTCTTCACTATTATTCTACAATGTAGAAAATAGTAAAGATAAAGAAAAACCCTTGAATGAGTAGGTGTATCCAAACCTTTGACTGGTACTGTATATAAAAAATGTATGACCACTTTATGACCCATCTGCATCTGTTGGGACAAACAAATGAAAAAAATAAAAAGCTTCCAAATTTAAAGTAAGCCAATAAAAAAGTCATCTCAGCCGTAGGCCTAAGATATATTTACCATAACTCTGATTGATCATACCTGTACACTGAGATCCGGGAAAAAGGGGGGAACAGAGTGTGTTCTGCCACCAGCACTCATCTTGCTGGCTGCCAGTTCCTCCCTGTCCACTAATATTTAATAGAGGGAACTAAAAAGAAGAAAGGGAAGGTATTAGTCTAACGCAGGGGAAACTGTTTCATTGTCAAAATTTGATGTAACTTCTGATCCAACCCACCTAAACATTCTTATAAGATTCTTACCTCATGCAAATCTTCAATGAAGTCATAGGTTTTCCCATATGTGGGACTCTGACCAGCCGCTGCACATTTGCAGGCTTCCTTCTCTCTGCAAGATTCTTCCTTTTGAATCTTGTTGACTGGGACGTCCATCCGTCCGCTTGCCGTCAATGTTGCTGCTCCAACTGCGGCCGCCATTTCACAGTCTAAGCAAATCTCTTGCTCAGCGATTGGCAGGAGGGTGCTGGAGCCCTCCTGAGAATCCAGTGAGGTCTGGGCACTCTTCTCCATGCCAGACTTCTTCAATCTGGGCAGGAATTTACCAGATTCCAGTTCTGACTTCCCATAGCAGGGGCCCTCGTTTTCTGCGTCCTCCTCCAGCGGTTTGAGGTCGGCCTGAGGGTCGTCGAAGATGTCCGGCGGGGCCAGGACTGGAAAACTCCTCTCCTCTTCTTTCTCGGACTCAGCCTCCGACTCGCTCCCTCCACCAGGCGACAACTCTGAGGCGGATATGGGTCGGAAGTGTGTCCTGGGGGAGATGCGGATGGCCCTGTACTGGGTGGTCCGGTTGATGCCGTATATCCGTGGGTGGAAAGCTTCGTTCTCGGAGTCCGAGCACAATATAGACTTGGGCTTGAACCCCGGGCTGAACGAAGCCATGTCCTCAGGCTCGAAGGAGCACTCTACGTGGAGGACTTGAGAGAACGGATTGTTCAGATCGAAGGACGCAAACGGGTAGTCGAGCCCTGGCTCCTCGCCTCGGAAGCCTGCACAGGGTCCGAGTAAATCTTCATGGAAGATTAAAGAAAACCCCTTATTCAATCCTTCCCCACCTCCTTTAGTAGCCTGGTCGCTCTGCCCGAAGGAGACCAGCGGCCTCCAGAAGGGCTTGTGGCCAGGGGCAAAGCAGCTGCCAGTATTCATGAACACGTCTGTACCAGCAATGGTGACCACGTCTGAGCCAGAGGCCGAAGCGGCAGCAGCGGCACACTGTAGCAGGCTGCCTCTCTCGTCGCCGGGTGGCACCATGGCCCAGTCCTGGTCACCGCTGAACGTCTTCAGCTCTCCATACACTCCTCCCAGGATGAACGATGTGTTGTCTTTCTCAGGGTTCACGTCCCAAGGCTTGGACGGCGTCATGTAATCCCCGGAAGCATTCATCTTTGAGAGCCCGTTTTTGGCCAGGAGGGCCTGCTCTTCATTCTTGCCTTCCCACAGGTGGTACTCAGAGTGCTGCACTGCCTTCTTCGGAGGCCCCTGGATGGGACCAACTTCCTTTGCCTGCATGTCGAGACAGCCGCAGTGGTAGCTACTCGACTCCTGGGAGAACAAGCCCTCGCCTGGCTTCTCTCCTCCTAGTGATAGTACAGGATCTCCATCTCCGATAGCTGTCCAAATGTCCTTTATTATCCCTGAGCTGTAGTTATCACTCTGTTGGTTTGTGTCATCTGAAAACATGCCAGCGTCGTACTGTTTGCTCTCGTCCTGTTCTAACGCTATTCCACAAATGGACTCCAATTTAGATTTCTTTGCGAAGGTCGGATTGGACACCGTGCCTACATTGGCCTCCTCGCACTGGCGACCGGTGTCTTCTTGTAAAAAGTCCAGGATTTCTTCTTCTAGGTATGTACCAGAGATAGGAAGGATTATACAATTAATATCTTCATTGCCAATTAGAGCGGACTCCTCTGTTTGAACGTTTATTTGCTCATTGTCTGAACGTGTCTCTTCCGAATGCGACCATGGACTGCAGGTTCGCGTTGAAAGGTTTGAACAGTGTTCAGTTTCATCAAAGGCACTATTTTTGGTCCATATTAGCAAACGAGACTGCTTGTTACAATGTGGTTCTAGACAGCTACTTGAATCTGTGTTGTTTTCGTGACCAACGGTGAGTGAGTCGCAGGGAAAAGGAAGAGTGGGGCTATCGTACTGCAGCTCAAAAAGAGAGAAGCAGGAGGAGTTCAGACCAGACGCTTCGCTGGTGGCTTCTGGGAGATGAGGCTCCTCCAGGGTTCCAGGCAGCGTGCTGATGGTGAATGTAACGCCGTCCAAAGCGGGGGAGAGCTGAACGGGAGAGTCCCCGACAAAGCTTTCTCCATCTTTATCTTCAGAGCTAGAGGATGAATAACATCCCCAGACCTGAGCCATGTTTTCCAAATCCTGCATGAAGAACCCATCAGCTGCCAAAGCTTCCTGACAGTCCACCCTTATTGCACTTTCCCCTTGCAGCTCAAGGCCATCTAACACTAAACAACATTCTGCCTCAAAGTCTCTTTGCTCTTCGCTCTTCTGTCTAATCATGCTCAAGATCCGACTCTCTTGTACTGAGTCTGAGGCACTAGGATCCAATATGGATTGATAAATATCGACTTCATAGAAGTGAGTGAATTCAGACAGATGGTCATCATCTAAATCTCTACTATCCTCGGGCGGAGGGCAGCTTGAGGTCCCATTGAGTTCGTTAGCCTCCTCGTTTGCGTCGCCTGGCACCTCAACAAAGTGCCCATCAACGAAGGTGCCCGCTGCCAGATACGCCCTCTGGAAGCTTGCGTTGGCAATGTAGATGCCTTGCATTCTCTCAGACAGCCTTTCCAAGTCGGCGGACATAGTTGAGTCATCTGGAGAGTCCACCTTACTCCGGTACTTTGTTTCCAGTTTGCTCTTTCTACTACTGAAAGGTACAAAATACTCTGTGATGGGCTCTGTGTACCACAGGGGCTCCTCCATGTACTCCTTTTTCTTGCTGGCATCAGCTCCGGACTCCTTTGCGTCCCCCCAACCTGGATCTTTTCGAATCTCCTTCAGCGGTCTTTTCCCCTTTTTGTAGAGCTGTGTTTGCCTTGCAGGGCCTCCAGTGGTGCTGCTGCTGCTTCCTCCAGCGTTCCTACGCTCCTCTTTGTCGATGGCCTTCAGAGCCAGCTTCACTTGTCCGCTGTTGCGCCCCCTCTTACTCCTGCTGCCCGCCTCCTTGGACTTGTGCCTGATTCTGACTGCTTTCCTGCTGGACGTTTTGGAGTTGCCCTGGTTCCCGCTGGAGCTCGAGCCAGTCTCGCTAGAGCCAGAGGACCAGGAGCGAGGCCGATACTTGCCCTCTGACCTGTGCCTCGCCTGCCTCTTGCTGTGGACGGCAGCTCGGTCCTCCGCTGTTGCGCCACCATGGTATCGGTTCTCTTTCTCTTTCTTGCTGCGTCGCTGCTGGGCTCTCTCGCTGGTTGGGTTAGTGGTAGTGTTGCATGCCTCAGGGGTTCTCTCATTAGCAGCTTCACCATCACTGTTGCAATCTTTTGGGGAGGAGGTGTCGGTGCTGGTCTGCGGGGCTGCAGAGGATGATGAGCCGGAGTAAGCGCTGGCTTTAGCCTTGTTCCACACCGTCATGATCTCTTGGAGACAAACAGATCCCTCTGACAAAGGAGGAAAGGCTTCATAATACCTGCAACAACAATGAGAGAAAACTTTGTCAATTAAGAGCAATCATAAAATGAATGAGCACATGTTTAATGGGCATAAAACTAAATCAACTATGCATAGTTGTGCCAGCTACTCAGGACAGTATTATTGTGGTTATGGGTAAAAACGTACATTTCCACCTGGTCCTTTGAGGAAGGGGACTCAACTTGTTCAGGAGACTGAGATCCATCCGATTTTTTGTGGAGCCATTTTTCTTCTGTGAAGAATTATAAGCAATATGATAAGAAGGAGCGTTATCATTGAAATGTTTTTATATTTACTAGTTTGTTACAACAGGGCATACAAATGTATAAACCCAAGACACAAACCTTTCTGTTTGTTTTGGATGTCCTTGAGTTTGGAGCAAAGCTCCTCGACCAGGCTCTCAATTCCAGAGTTCTGTGGGGAAAAAAGGAGGGAGAATATGTAACATTAAGAATTAATCTAGCAAAGAGAATCTAAACAGAATAATCTAATGAGACCTGTGTATGAAACAGCAGTGAATGAACATTAATAAAACATTTGCTTCTTTCAGACCACTCATAAAGTGATAGGATGTTTCCAACAATAACACTTGGGGGTTTGAACATAAGCTTTTTTTAAAGGCAACTTCGACCCCATTGTAACACTGACTAGAGGGTATTAACATGGGGCTGACAGAAGTCTAACCAGCTGACTGTCAGCACGGGCATGCTCTACCATGACTATATTAAATCAGTGTTTTCCATTAGCGCCGTCTGATGACTAAATCAGCCGGTTACACACACATTTTTAGCCGGCTACATTTTCAGATTAACTAGGCTACTTTTCATTTTAAAGTTTCAATTAGATAGTCCGTCGAGCCCTCTCTCACTAGAATGAACGATATGCATCTTCTAGCGATCTATTGATAGGATAGGTGCCTGTCAGTCACAAAGCGAGCGATGACCGGGAAACGCAGCAGAGAGGAAGAGGTGAAGCGAGAGGTTTCACTCTGGCCAAAATCTGTCCAAAATAAGCCCAATGTGTTTCAATGGGCTTATTTTGGACCTAAGCATGTCACCTGCCTTCCCGCCTTTGGGACAACGACTCCCATTGTTAGGGCGGAGACGTGAGCATCTCGTCATTTTATACAGATCTCTGGTTGCAGTTGAATTTCTTTACACGGAGGAGGGAGAGAAAGCATGATGCTCGTGAATTTGCACGTCCCATGTAATGTAAGTGGTAACGATGAGTCAATCCAATAGCCTAATTATTGTTTTCTGACACATTTATTTTCTTTGACACATTTATTTTCTTTCGTGTGTTTCACATAGCCAGCCAAGAGGAGTCGTGGTGCCAAGTTGGCTAATTACTCAAGTAGATAATTAGGGCCCTCACAGAATCTTGGCATTAACGGAATTCAACAATATTTAAACGTGTATTAACCTTAGTAGGGAATCAACTAAATGTATGAAATTAATTCATTTGCCCAAGTTAATCATAAGACATGAACAGAATGCATCAGTGATTCGTATTTCCTGCAACTTTCTGAAGAGGCAATGAGAATGCCCCTGTCTGTGTGTGTGTGCAGTGCGCACATCTACCACTTTGTGTAGCTGTTAGCGATGATGCTAATGAAAACAGTCTTCTAGGTAGATGGAAAGGCTTTCCCAAAAACTTTCTCAATTAAAGCTGCAATATATAACTTTTTGGGCGACCTGACCAAATTCAGATAGAAATGTGAGTTATAGATCTGTCATTCTAATTGAAAGCAAGTCTAAGAAGCGGTAGATCTGTTCTGTGTGAGCTATTTCTATGCTTCCCGTTAAGTTTCAAATATATTTCACAGCGGTTTAGATAGTACAATGATTCTCTACACATTCAAATTGGTCGATTTGCTTGTTTTTTCACATAAACGGAAATAAAACAAACTGTTAGAATTTTAGCAACCAGGAAATGGCAGAGCGATTTCTGCATAGTGCACCTTTACAACGTTAACTACTAAGTAGCCTATGCTTACCTGGCAGAATGTTATCATTATTATTTAGATCAATCCAGTGGGTATTTGTTTTGCAAACTACCATCACATGTGTGCTACAAAAACACAGCTAAACAGCCTCTTGCTAGGTGTGCACTTGAATTAAAGGGTAACTACATCCAAAAATCGATATTTCTTTGATTTTTCCCAGACCTCAAACATGGTCTCCAGGGTGGGAAATTAACACCCGCCAAATGCAGGTAGATTTAGGTATTGGCTGGTAAGAATGTATATTTCACCAGACACGTTGACGGGTGGTCACACACAGCATTTGGGAACCGTTTTTTTGTTTAAATCCAAAGCCCAAAATGTATAAATTGGTCAAATTGACGTGAAAGGCTACTAAAGTGTGACTTTGTCCTCGTGTTTCTTGGCTAGTTACAGTATATAATTTTGTTCACACGCTAGGTTGTTTTTCAATATTAGTTTGAGTTTGCTGCAACTGTCTGCTGGTAGTACAGACAGAGAATATAATCTCCGACAGACACGGAGTGCCGTTACCACGGTAATGGCCAGCCCCTTAACAAGGGACAGCTGAACATTTTTGACTCACCTAATGACTCAAATATTTTGGGGTAAATAGTGCTCGATAGAGCATGGAACAGTCCAAAAACATTTTATTCATGAATTTAGTCATTTCTTATCATTTAAAACACAATTTCATTGTGCTCCTACATTTATTTGTGTGCTCCTAAATATCTACTTATGTACTTGTAAAAAATGTCAGCGTTAGAGCCCTGAACTTATAGTAAATAAGCCATATCATTCAGCATTTTGTGGCACTGTTGATTCTTAATGTTCAGTTGTACAACCATTGATCTGTTCTACTTTTTACTATTGTATGTTAAATTAAATAATTTAGAAACAATAGTAAAAAGTAGAACAGATAAACGGTTGTACAACCAGCCACTCAGATGGTCGCCTGATGTGGTTTAAGCATTTTTGTGGATTTAGAATATTCAATTTTGTAACTTGATAATGTGGGTTATTTACTTAATTTTTCTGTTTTAATAAAATACATAATTTGAAGAACAAACATCATTGTGGCAATTTATATCTTGCAGTAAAACTGTAAATATGACTTTAAATCTCAAGAGAAGACAGGTTAAAATGTTAAAAGGTTTAATGTTCTCTTACTTAGAAAATAGTCCAGATCATATAGGCCTAGACAATATCAAAAACAACTAACATCACACTGAATTCATACATTTTCAGTAATTTAAATTGTATAGTCATGTCTTTCTACACAATACCACAACAAATGTTCCCAGTCTGGGAAATAAACTCAACAAAGCATTCAATTATTTCGCTGTGTATCTCAGATGGAATCAAGGCATTAGAATGTACCAGAGGCCACCAAAATAGAGCTCCTTCTGCAGAAGAATTCAAACCCAGGGATGCCTGGCTGGCTACTTTTTCTATTTGGCTGGCTCCTCTATGTACTTGTGTAAAACACTGATTAAATGTAGCTAAGAGGGAGAAATGTTGCATGAGAAAAATGACTAAGCATAGCCTGAACATCCACCACCTGTCTTTCCATCTAAACACTTACAAAACATCAGGCATTAGACAAACAAAGACCTCTCAGACACCTACTTCTTCCTTATACCTATTGAGATTTTACTCGCTGAACAAAGATGACGTGATCTGTTTTGCTGCAAACAAGGCCTGCTACGATCTGGTCTACATAAAGACAGCCATGTCAAAATGCCTCAACAGACCAGTAGGCAATAGGCAAAGTCAGAAAAGCATCTGCATTCGGTGAGGACTGCTATATCCACCACAACATCCAGGGCCAGATTAGTCCCAAAATGTGTAATTTACACACTCTCCCTTCTCTCGCTCTCTTTCTGACAGAAAGTGACATTCCTTACCATGCCTCCCAGCAAAAAGCAAAGTTTCTCCCCTGGCCCTGTGTTTCCTCTTGCATCATTGTGCTAATGCCAGTCAGCTGACGGGCAACACGCACGCACTCTGCTCTCTGTGCTGCAATCCCGTGCAGCATGTGCTGGTTAAAAAAAAATTGACCGCAGAGTCCAGTCCCCAGAGAGCAGCACACTCCTCCTCTACCTTGCAGACCCTTCCCCCTATACGCCCTCCAGCTCTATCCCAGCCCTCAAACGCTCGCTCTACTACGGGCTGCCTTTGATAGTATACTACTGCCAACCAACCACTAAGGAAAATGTCAGCAAATTCTTTCAGATTTTGCTTGGAAAAAGGGCACAGAAATAATTTAATGCAGGCTTATTAAACTGTGCACTCGCTTACATGCAATGACTCCTCTGCAAGGTCACCCATAACATTATCTCAATACTGAGTGTAACAGTGTGAGTGCAAATGGGAGTCTTTCCACTGGTTCACAATTCTTCACTCTGCTGACCTCAATCCAACCTTGCAAGTAAACTCTCATTATATCACACTGGCTGTGAAAATCCTGGAGAGCAAATCACAAAATAAGGCTGGCCAATGCCAAGTATCATATGATGATAATGGTTTGACTGAGGGTCTTCCTCAGGTGCATCCAATTTCCTTTGATCATCCTTGAGATGTCTCTACAACTTGATTGGAGTTCACCTGTGGCCAATTCAATTGTTTAGCAATGATTTAAAAATAAACACACCTGTCTATATAAAGGTCCCACAGTTGCCAGTATACAGTGCAGTCGGAAAGTATACAGACCCCTTCCCCCTTTCCACATTTTGTTACGTTACAGCCTTATTCTAAAATTGATTAAATAAAAATCCTCAATCTACACACAATACCCGACAATAACGAAGTGAAAACAGGCGTAGAAAATGTTGCAAATTTATAAAAAATTAAAAACAGATATACCTTATTTACATAGGTATTCAGACCCTTTGCTATGAGATTTCAAATTGAGCTCAGGTGCATCCTGTTTCCATTGATCATCCTTGAGATGTTTCTACAACTTAATTGGAGTCCACCTGAGGTAAATTCAATTGATTGGACATGATTTGGAAAGGCACACTCCTGTCTATATAAGGGCCCACAGTTGATAGTGCATGTCAAAACAAAAACCGAGCAATGAGGTCGAAGGAATTGTCTGTAGAGCTCAGAGACAGGATTGTGTCGAGGCACAGATCTGGGGAAGGGTACCAAAACATTTCTGCAGCATTGAAGGTCCCCAAGAACACAGTGGCCTCCATCATTCTTAAATGGAAGTAGTTTTGAACCACCAAGACTCTTCCTAGAGCTGGCCGTCCGGCCAAACTGAGCAATCGGGGGAGAAGGGCCTTGGTCAGAGAGGTGACCAAGAACCCGATGGTCACTCTGACAGAGCTCCAGAGTTCCTCTGTGGAGATGGGAGAACCTTGCAGAAGGACAACCATCTCTGCAGCACTCCACCAATCAGGCCTTTATGGTAGAGTGGCCAGACGGAAGCCACTACTCAGTAAAAGGCACGACAGCCCGCTTGGAGTTTGCCAAAAGGCACCTAAAGGACTCTCGGACCATGAGAAACAAGATTCTCTGGTCTGATGAAACCAAGATTGAACTATTTTGCCTGAATGCCAAGCTTCACGTCTGGAGGAACCCTGGCACCATCCCTACGGTGAAGCATAGTGGTGGCAGCATCACGCTGTGGGGATGTTTTTCAGTGGGAGACTAATCAGGATCGAGGGAAAGATGAACGGAGCAAAGTACAGAAAGATCCTTGATGAAAACCTTCTCCAGAGCACTCAGGACCTCAGACTGGGGCGTAGGTTCACCTTCCAACAGGACAACGACCCTAAGCACACAGCCAAGACAACGCAGGAGTGGCTTCGGGACAAGTCTCTGAATGTCATTGAGTGGCCCAGCCAGAGCCCGGACTTGAACCCGATCTAACATCTCTGGAGAGACCTGAAAATAGCTGTGCAGCGACGCTCCCCATCCAACCTGAGAGCTTGAGAGGATCTGTAGAGAAGAATGGGAGAAACTCCCCAAATACAGGTGTGCCAAGCTTGTAGCGTCATACCCAAGAAGACTCGAGGCTGTAATCGCTGCCAAAGGTGCTTCAAAGTACTGAGCAAAGGGTCTGAATACTTATGTAAATGTGATAGTTTTTTTATTTTTTATTTTGTTGCTAAAATGTATTCAAACCTGTTTTTCCTTTGTCATTATGGGGTAGTGTGTGTAGATTGATGAGGGGAAAAAAACAATTTAATCTATTTTAGAATAAGGCTGTAACGTAACAAAATGTGGAAAAATATCTAGGGGTCTGAATACTGTCCAAATGCACTGCACGTCAGAGCAGAAACTATACCATGAAGTCCAAGGAACTGTCCGTAGATCTCTGAGATAGCATTGTGATGAGGAATATATCTGGGGAAGGGTATAAAACAATTTCTAGAGTGTTGAAAGGTTCCAAGAGCACATTGGTCTCAAAATATGGAACTACCCAGACTCTGCCTAGAGCTGGCCATCCAACCAAACTGAGCAACCGGGAACCAAGTGACCAAGAACCCAATGAACTCTCTGACAGAACTACAGAGTTAGTTGGCTGAGATGGTAGAACCTGCCAGATGGAAGCCACTCTTGAGAAAAAGGCACATGACATAACAAAATGTGGAATAAGTCAAGGGGTATGAATACTTTCTGAAGGCAGTGTACATGCTTCTACCATTCTTCAATTACTCAACATATTCAGCTTTGTAGCTTACAAGCTGGTGTGTGTCAAAATAACCACTGAACTGCTGTACCAACTATCAGTCTATGCAACTGCTCCTAAATATTCAAGCTTCAAAGAGTCAATATAAGTGAAATGTATCATTTCAATTTCTCAGGAGTGCATGAGCAATGCTGTGAGTAGACCACACGCACAAAAACATTGGGTGAAGAGATTTGTGGCGACACTGGGGTGGAACGGCACTTACTTCATCAGATGCAGAACGCAGACATTGCACGGCGGCTTGCTTCTTTATCTCATCCAGACTTAGGTCCGTCCCTCCTCCTTTCTTCTTACTCTTGCCCCATTTCTTCCCAGTTCCCTTCTCCCAGCCCAAGAAGATGTCATTTTCCTGCACACACAAAATCCACATCAGTCATTCAATGAGACAGCTCCTCTACACAGAAAAAAAGGAAATGCATGTAGAAAAAAAGGAAATGCATGTTTTAGAACATTGTAAGTGTAAGAAATCAAAGATGGCTTTAAAATCATTAGGTTCAATTACAATCACCTGACTCATACTCAATACTAAAACAGAACCCTCTTCTTCATTGGCTATGTGTATGTTTAGTTTAAGTAGGATACCCATTAGCTACTGCACATGCAGCAGCTACTCTTCCTGGGGTCTACATAAAATGTACAAATACACAACAAAGTACAGAACAGTTATAGACTAGAACACAAGATTACATTAAATAAATAAAAATAAGTGATATATTGGAAAGACACAACAAAAATACTACTTACACACTATTCATATATACATACTCATATGAGGAGAGGCGCTGTGATAATGTATTTTAAAGCTAAAACTTGCTTTTGACCTGAGTAACCTCTGGCGGCAGACCATTCCACGATGACATGGCTCGACACATAACAGAGCGATCCATTTAATCTGTTTTTGGATTGGTACAGTGAAGAAACCCATAGTGGCGTATGTACACTGAGTAAACTTAACATCAGAAACACCTTCCTAATATTGAGTTTCACCTACTCCCGTTGCCTGCTGCACTGCTGCTTGGATCCCACCTGGCGATATGCTCCCCGTCTGCCCTGGCCTGTCTCCCACTGTCTGGTACAGGTACCTCGCCACACTCCCCCCTCTCTCCCTAGCTTTCGCTCGCTTCCAGCACACACACACACACACACACACACACTGCACACTTTGGACTGATCTGAATTTTATGTAGGCTAATTAACTTATGAAGCTTGTGAGCTTTAATGAACTAGTATAGGCCTACTATTTCTTTTATCTCAGACTTGTATAGCCTACTGGACTCAGAGCTACTCTCTCACGTTATTTTGTTGGTACGAGTGGCTCTTTGAACTTACAATGTCTAACCCCAAGCGGTTTTATTTTTTTCTTATGCTTTATGCCATTTGCTCCATGACTCTTTGTTGTCTATGAACTTACTTGTTTACCCGACCGCGGGACAGACCATGTTTGTTCCCAACAGTCGTGACTCTGGCCTCCCATCCTATTCTAACTACCTCTCGCCAGCTTTGTATTCATATTACCTGATGAAATTGCTGTACAATATGATCTTGTTGCCATCTGATGCACATTCAGATGTCACAAAAAATCAACACTGCAAAGCTTTCCCTGTCCTCTGCCGTGCCCCGATTGTATTACTGCTGATGATATCTGGAAATGTGCATGTCTACTGTTGCTAGCCCAAACTGACTTGTGCTCCAATTTCTGCTTCACTGATTTCTGCTCTTGTAAAAGCCTAGGTTTTCTGCACTTTAACTCTAGAAGCTTATTACCTAAAATGGATAAATTGAAAGTGTGGGTTCACAGCTCCAGTCCAGATGTGTTGGTCATCACTGAGACGTGGTTAGAAAGAGTGTTCTGAACACTGATGTTAACCTTTTTCGGCAAGACAGATCTTCCAAAGGTGGTGGAGTGGCAATCTTTACCAAGGAACACCTTCAGTGCTCGGTTGTCTCCACCAAGTCTGTCCCCAAACAATTTGATTTGCTGGTTTTACGCATTAAGCTTTCAAATAGCTTTGTTTACTGTTGCTGGGTGTTATCGTCCACCATCAGCACCGGCTTGTACCCTACCTGCACTAAGCTTTCTCTTGGCCCCTTACACAAAGTCTGAATTTGTCCTGCTAGGTGACCTAACCTGGGACATGCTTAAACCACATGACCAAGTCCTAAAACAATGGGACTCCCTAAATCTCTAAAAGATTATTATGACTCCCAACACCCAGAAAAGGCTACTAAAAATAGGTTCAGCCCCTGGTTCGACAGTGATCTAGCAGAGTTACTCCACCTCAAGAACACCATTTGGCGAAAGGCTCGGCACACAAACACTCAGGCTGATTGGCTGTTGTTCAGGCAAATGAGAAATAAGTGCACTCAGGCTATTGGGAAAGCCACATTTATTTACTTTAAGGAGCACTTCTCACTCTGTGGGTCTAACCCCAAGAAGTTCAGGAAAACGGTGTAAGACCTGGAGAATAAACCCTCCTCCTCACAGCTGCCCATGTCCCTTAATGTTGATGATGTGGTTGTTATTGACAAGGAGCGCATGGCTGAGCTCTTTAAAAACTTCATTAAGTCAGGATTCTTATTTGACTCAGCCATGCCTCCTTGCCCGTCCAACATTTCCTAATCTCCCAGCCCTTCTAATGTGACTAGCCCTGATGCTCCGCCCTCTTTTCCCCCTGCCCTGCAACAAAGTTTCTCTCTGCAGGCAGTCACCGAGTCTGAGGTGCTAAAGGAGCTCCTTAAACTTCACCCCCAAAAAACATCTGGGTCAGATGGTTTAGATCCTATCTTCTTTAAGGTTGCAGCCCCTATCGTCGACGAGCCTCTCTCTCTCACCTTTTTAACCTGTCTCTCCTCTCCGGGGAGGTTCCCTTTGCTTGGAAGGCAGCCATGGTGCGTCCTTTATTCAAAGGGGGAGATCAAGCTGATCCTAACTGTTATAGGCCAATTTCTATCTTGCCCTGTTTATAAAAAGTGTTTGAAAAATGTATCAATAATCAACTGACTGGCTTTGATGTCTATAGTATTCTCTCTGGTATGCAACCTGGTTTCTGCTCAGGTTATGGATGTGTCACTGCAACCTTAAAAAGGTCTCAAATGATGTCACCATTGTAAGGTTGCTCTCGAGCGGCTAGATGTTCTTTACCATTCAGCCATCAGATTTGCCGCCAATGCTCCTTATAGAACACATCACTGCACTCTATACTCCTCTGTAAACTGGCCATTACATTTGACATTTTAGTCATTTAGCAGACGCTCTTATGCAGAGCGACTTACAGTTAGTGAGTGCATACATTATTTTTTAATTTTTTATTTTTTATACTGCCCCCCCGTGGGAATTGAACCCACAACCTTGGCGTTGCAAACGCCATGCTCTACCAACTGAGCCAAATCCCTGCCGGCCATTCCCTCCCCTAACCTGGACAACGCTGGGCCAATTGTGCGCCGCCCCATGGGTCTCCCTGTCTCTGTATACCTGACGCAAGACCCACTGGTTGATGCTTATTTATAAAACCCTCTTAGGCCTCACTCCCCCCTATCTGAGATACCTACTGCAACCCTCATCCTCCACATACAACACCTGTTCTGCCAGTCACATTCTGTTAAAGGTCCCCAAAGCACACACATCCCCAATTCGCCCCTCTTTTCAGTTCGCTGCAGCTAGCGATTGGAACAAGCTGCAAAAAACACTCAAACTGGAAAGTTTTAATCGCCATCTCTTCATTCAAAGACTCAATCATGGACACTCTTACTGACACTTGTGGCTGCTTCACGTGATGCATTGTTGTCTCTACCTTTTTGCCCTTTGTGCTGTTTCTGTGCTTAACAATATTTTTCCATGTTGTTCCCGTGTTGTTGTCATGTCTTGCAACCATGCTGTGTTTGTCTCAGGTCTCTCTTTATGTGGTGTTGTGGTGTCTTGTCGTGATGTGTGTTTTGTCCTACATTTTTAATCCCAGCCCCCCTCCCCGCAGGAGGCCTTTTGCCTCTTGATAGGCAGTAAATAAATAAAAAATATAGTCATCGTAAATAAGAATTTGTTCGTAACTGACTTACCTGGTTAAATAATTAAACTATTTTATATTTTTTTTATTACCGGACAGTAATCAATATGGGACAATTGACCTGTGTCAAAAACGCAGAACATATTTTATTTTATTTTTTATAAACAGACATAGGCTACCTCTCACCATCTTCACAACAACTTTGTCAATATGACTTGACCATCATAACTGACTATCCAATGCTAGGAGTTCAACTTCTTCAACACCCTTTATGCACAACTCCAGTTAAGGTTTAGGTCTAAGAGAATGCTTTGAATAAAATACAACTATTTTGGTTTTAGATGTATTTAAGACCAGTTTATTGTTAATTACCCATTCTGACACATCATATTATGGGTATACTTGTCATCGGCAAGGACTAGGGAGTTTAGAAAGAAAAGAAACAGAATTGAGCTAAGCACAGGCAAAATCCTAGAGGAAAACCTGGTGCAGTCTGCTTTCCAACACACTGGGAGACACATTCACCTTTCAGCAGGACAATAACCTAAAACACAAGAGTTGCTTACCAAAGCGTTGAATGTTCCTGAGTGGTCTAGTTACAATTGACTGAAATCGGCTTTAAAATCTATGGCAAGACTTGAAAATAGCCGTTTAGCAATGATCAACAACCAACTTGACAGAGCTTGAAGAATTGTAAAAAGAATAAAATGGGCATATTTTGTACAATCCAGGTGTGCAAAGCTCTTAGACTTATCCAGAAAGGCTCACAGCTGTAGTCACTGCCAAAAGGTGCTTCTACAAAGTATTGACTCAGGGGTGGGAATACTTGTATAAATTAGATACACTATATGACCAAAAGTATGTGGACACCTGCTCGAACATCTCATTCAAAGATCATAGGCATTAATATGGAGTTGGTCCCCCCCTTTGCTGCTATAACAGCCTCTACTCTTCTGGGAAGGCTTTCCACTAGATTGTGGAACATTGCTGCAGGGACTTGCTTCCATTCAGTCACAAGAGCATTAGTGAGGTCGGGCACTGATGTTGGGAGATTAGGCCTGGCTCGCAGTCGGGCGTTCCACTTCTGTATGGACCTTGCTTTGTGCACGGGGGCATTTTCATGCTGAAACAGGAAAGGGCCTTCCCCAAACTGTTGCCACAAAGTTGGAAGCACAGAATCGTCTAGAATGTCATTGAATACTGTAGCGTTAATATTTCCCTTCACTGGAACTAAGAGGCCTAGCCCGAACCATGAAAAACAGCCCCAGACCATTATTTCTCCTCCACCAAACTTTATAGTTGGCATGCATTCGGGCAGGTAGCGTTCTCCTGGCATCCTCCAAACCCAGATTCTTCCGTCGGACTGCCAGATGGTGAAGCTTCATTCATCACTCCAGAGAACGCGTTTCCACTGCTCCAGAGTTCAATGGCGGCGAGCTTTACACCACTCCAGCCGACGCTTGGCATTCTGCATGGTGATCTTATGCTTGTGTGGGGCTGCTCGGCCATGGAAACCCATTTCATGACCTCCCAATGAACAGTTATTGTGCTGACATTGCTTACACGCTACACGCTTCAGCCCTCAGCGGTTCCATTCTGTGAGCTTGTCTGGCCTACCACGTCACAGCTGAGCAGTTGTTGCTCCTAGACGTTTCCACTTCACAATAACAGCACTTACAGTTGACCGGGGCAGCTCTAGCAGGGCAGAAATTTGACGAACTGATTTGTTGGAAAGGTGGCATTATATGACGGTGCCACATTGAAAGTGACTGAGCTCTTCAGTTAGGCCATTCTACTGCCAATGTTTGTCTATGGAGATTGCATGGCTGTGCGCTCGATTTTATACACCTGTCAGCAACGGGTGTGGCTGAAATAGCCGGATCCATTCATTTGAAGGTGTGTCCACATACACTATATATACAAAAGTATCCATTTTATTTTCAATAAATTTCTAAAAACATGTTTTCACTTAGTCATTATGGGGTATTGTGTGTAGATGCGTAGTTGGCCCTGTGTAACTCAGTTGGTAGAGCATGGCGCTTGCAACGGCAGGGTTGTGGGTTCCATTCCCACGGGGGGCCAGTATGAAAATGTATGCACTCACTAACTAAGTCGCTCTGAATAAGAGCATCTGCTAAATGACTAAAAATGTTTTTAAAAATGCGCGAGAGAAAAGTATATTTAATCCATTTTGAATTCAGGCTGTAACAAAATGTGGAATAAATCAAGGGGTGTGAATAAGTTCTTAAGGCACTGTATATCAAACGGTTGTTATAAATGACCCATCAACTTAAATTCATGGAGATTAATTGTGTGTTCTGCCCATAATAAAATTTAAGTTAATGTTTTTTTTTCTCCATAGTTTTTTTATGTCATTTATCTTGTTTTGGTAATATAATTTCATTTTTTTGTTAAGTTTAGTCACAAAATTTCTCAATTGACGGTATGTCAACTAATCAGCTGAGCAGCCTGACTTGTTTGCCACCTTTTTTTGCATAATTTCTTTGAACCATAACATTTTTCAATTCATCAGCGTTCCAGGGGGCTCTAACAGTTCTCACAGAGTTTCTCAAAACAGGTGCATGTTCGCCAACAATTGGCAAGAATAATTATACAAATACTGCATCTGTATTCTCCTCCTTATATACATCAGACCAACATACATTTTATACATCTTCAACAAAAGAGTCCTGAGAAAACATTTTGTGTACGATCTCTTATAAATAACTTTAGGCACTGCCTTTGGCTTGCCTTGTTATGATCTCTGATTCAGAGGTGTTGAGTTAAATGTGGAAGACACATTTTGGTTGAATGCATTCAGTTGGTGCAACTGACTAGGTATCCCCTTTCCCTTCTTGTCACAATGATATGGTCACTACAACCAATGGGAACTGATATTGCTTTAACCAAGTGGGGGAACTAGATACCATCATGTTTAAACAACACATTGCTACTGCTGGAAACCCACCTGATCCTGCAGGTCGTAACTGTCGTGCAGGAGCAGGCTGAGGACGTAGCGGGTGTAGATCAGGGCGTCGATCCCGCACTTCTCCAGCTCCTGGCCCAGCCAGTTCTGCACTGGGCCCAGCGAGTGGAGCAGGGACATCTCAGAGGTGGGTAGGGGGCCCACTGGGGGGTGGGGGCGCGAGAAGCTTACAGGAGGAGCAGGTCCGTCCGACTCGTCGCTCACTGGACGCATGGGAATCTTTAGGTGATGACCATTCTGAGGTGGAGCGGCATTGTGACAGCTGGATGTGGAGGGGCAGTAGTGGGGCGGTGTGGAGAGAGGGCAGGGCAGTAGAGCCTATCTGGAAGAGGGGATTTACTCCAGCAGGACAGACAAGAGGGAGTCTACTTGGAGAGACATGTAGGGGGCTGTTTTTTAATTGCAATTAATTTTTATTAAAAATGTTTTATTGCCGTTAGCAAGTAGGGATCTTTACTCGTCAGGCATGGCTTTAACTGAAGAAAGCGATCAGCTGCTTGGCAAAACACAAGACGTGTTTGCGCATCAGTCGGAGGGGATCATGTTGGGCTACGGCTTACTCCACCAGCACAACCTGAAAGAGGAAACAGACTTGCGTCACTTCTCTGTGTTGCATTTAATGTTTCACAAGGTGTGTTCTGTTACACCATGATATAGGCCCTAGGCTTAGAAGACTTACAAAGAACCCAACGAAATTGCTCACAACATAAAATGGCTTGTTGACCTTGTTCAATTTGATTTTCAAAGACCTGGCCAACATGACCTAATGCTTTGGGACCTCATTCATTTAAAAAGAACACCAAAATAAATCATATTTTCGATTTAATTGAATAAATTAGCATGCTGTACAAATTCATAGAAATCATAATGGGAATCATTATAGACAAGCGAACATGCTGAAGTGAACACCTTGTAAATGAACCAATGCACATTGTTTGTTGGTTACTAAAGGCCTCATCTCCCACCCTGCCCAAGTGCAGATCTATAGCCTGTCTGTCCCCACGGATGGTTTTTAAAAGAGCAACTGCTCCTAAAAACAAACTTCTCATTTAGAAAATAGTCTACGTGGCATCGATAGGAGTCAGCAACATTTATTTTACTGTCAAAATTGACTACAAAGTGTAAATAGGATAATTTTGGTCATAAAGTCAGTCTCGTCCAAAACTGAGTTGTGAGACTTGTGATCGTGACGTCATCATAACGTAAATGAAAGTTGGGTTTGGTTTCAATCCGGCCCACATGACAACAGCTGGCAGCACACAAGTAATCATTCATTTGTGCAGCTGCACTCACCTGATCGTAGTGCCTGTGGTAAATTTGGGTTGACTTTGGATATCCCTATGGGCCTAGTTAGGGACCATCAGTAAATTACACAATGTACATGGGACAATATGTTAAAACTCCAATAGCTCCAAATTTCAGTGGCTTAAAAACTTCAAACCAACAGTAACATTTTAGAAATTCATATAAAAGTATTGAAAGCATTTTATGACAACCTAAAAAAGTGTGCAACATTTTGATGGTCCCCAACGAGCCCCGCTAATTGGTGAAAGAATTTGTCTAACACACGACACCCACATCAAACCACACCCCGAAACCAACTCGCGTTTGAATTCAGTCATGGCAGCTAGCATTTCTTAAATGAACCAAATATAAAACAAGTCCCAATCAAGAAGTTCAGATATCATATAATTGGCATATACATTACTCTTACTGAATTTCCACGTGTGCGAGGATATTGGAAATTTAATCAAAGCCTATTGGATGATAACTTGTTTTTAACTAGGACAGACAGTTATAACTGATTGTTTCCAACATAGCATAGGTACAGCAAATCCCCTTATTGTATGGGACACTTTTAAAATGTGCCTTTAGAGGCCATGCAATTCAGTATTCAGCTCGAAAACAAAAGCAATTTAGGTCAAAAGAGTCCATACTAACAAAGGAAAGTCTAACAGAACAGATAGATAGCAATAAAAACTAACATAGAGGCTCAGAATAATTTAGAGGAAAAACTAAAATAAATGGATTAAGATTTTTCAAGAAAGATGTCAAATTAACAGCCATACAGAAAGACTCATGTGAAGGTGAAACTACAGAGGAGGAATTTCTGGATGCAATTAAAGACTTTAAGTCTGGGAAAACTCCAGTGTTGGATGGCATACCAGTCGAGGTATACCAAACCTTTTTTGATATACTCAGAGGACCGTTATTAGCATATTTTAACCACTCCTATGTAAAAATTGTAGATTATCAGACAGTCATGAAGAAGGTCTGATTTCATTATTACTGAAACAGGATACAAGTGGGAAATATAAAGATCCAGTCCATTTTAAAAAATGGAGGCCCCTTACACTTCAGTGTTGTGATGCAAAAATTCCAGCGAAATGTATAGCTCATAGAATTAAAAAAATATATTGTCGAACATTATTAATTCTAATCAGAAAGTTTTTTTTACATGGACGATACAATTGGAGATAATATAAGGCAAGTACTGGAAACAATTGAAAACTATGACAAATCTGGGAAACCAGGCCTGCTATTCATAGCAGACTTTGAAAAGGCATTTGATAAAGTACAACTGGGGTTTATACAGTTGAAGTCAGAAGTTTACATACACCTTAGCCAAATACATTTAAACTCAGTTTGTCACAATTCCTGACATTTAATCCTAGTAAAAATTCCCAGTCTTAGGTCAGTTAGGATCACCACTTTATTTTAAGAATGTGAAATGTCAGAATAATAGTGGAGAGAATGATTTTTTTCAGCTTATATTTCTTTCATCACATTCCCAGTGGGTCAGAAATTTACATACGCTCAATTAGTATTTGGTAGCATTGCCTTTAAATTGTTTAACTTGGGTCAAACGTTTTGGGTGGCCTTTACAAGCTGCTCACAATAAGTTGGGTGAATTTTGGCCTTTCCTCCTGACAGAGCTGGGGTAACTGAGTCAGGTTTGTAGGCCTCCTTGCTCACACATGCTTTTTCAGTTCTGCCCACAAATGTTCTATAGGTTTGAGGTCACTCCAATACCTTGACTTTGTTGTCCTTAAGCCATTTTGCCACAACTTTGGAAGTATGCTTGGGGTCATTGTCCATTTGGAAGACCCATTTGCGACCAAGCTTTAACTTCCTGACTGATGTCTTGAGATGTTGCTTCAATATATCGACATAATTTTCCTTCCTCATGATGCCATCTATTTTGTGAAGTGCACCAGTCCCTCCTGCAGCAAAGCACCCCCACAGCATGATGCTGCCACCCCCGTGCTTCATGGTTGGGATGGTGTTCTTCGGCTTGGAAGACTCCCCGTTTTTCCTCTAAACATATCGATGGTCATTATGGCCAAACAGTTCTATTTTTGTTTCATCAGACCAGAGGACATTTCTCCAAAAGGTAAGATATTTGTCCCCATGTGCAGTTGCAAACCGTAGTCTGGCTTTTTTATGGCGGTTTTGGAGCAGTGGCTTCTTCCTTGCTGAGCAGCCATTCAGGTTATGTCGATATAGGATTAGTTTTACTGTGGATATAGATACTTTTGTACCCGTTTCCTCCAGCATCTTCACAAGGTCCTTTGCTGTTGTTCTGGGATTGATTTGCATTTTTTAGCACCAAAGTACGTTCATCTCTAGGAGACAGAACGCGTCTCCTTCCTGAGCGGTATGACGGCTGCATGGTCCCATGGTGTTTATACTTGCATACTATTGTTTGTACAGATGAACGTGGTACCTTCAGGCGTTTGGAAATTGCTCCCAAGGATGAACCAGACTTGTGGAGGTCTACAATAATTTTTCTGAGGTCTTGGCTGATTTCTTTTGATTTTCCCATGATGTCAAGCAAAGAGGCACTAAGTTTGAAGGTAGGCCTTGAAATACATCCACAGGTACACCTCCAATTGACTCAAATTATGTCAATTAGCCTATCAGAAGCTTCTAAAGCAGGGGTGTCAAACTCATTTTAGCTCAGGGGCCACATGGAGGAAAATCTATTCCCAAGTGGGCCGGACCGGAAAAATCATGGTATATATAACTTAAAAACAATCACTTCAGATTGTTTTCTTTGTTTTAATACGATCAACATACAACATAAAGCTGGAGCCTGAGGACAGTGTGTCCAAAATAGTACAAGCACAACATCACTATTAATCATAAAACACATCAAGTTTATTTGAAAATTCTAAAGAAAAAGAACAAACACACAATGCCTCAGTGATTAACAGAACTGTTTCACAGATCACAGAACTATATCAGGGTGTCATTTCTCAGGCAGAAATGTAGATAAAAATAATGAAATCCTGTTCCCCAAACAAGTGCAAGAACCACAGAGTCAAGAATAGGTTAAATATACAAATAAAATAAAATCAATTAAAAACAATAGCACATCAACATAAAAACATATAAACATAAAGCTGGAGCCTGAGGACAGTGTCCAAAAGCACAACATCACTATTAATCATAAAACACCTCAAGTTATTTGAAAGTTCTGAGGACAAAGAACACACAAACACACAATGCCTCAGTGATTAACAGAACTGTTTCACAGATCACAGAACTATATCAGGGTGTAATTTCTCAGGCAGAAATGTAGATAAAAATAATGAAATCCTGTTCCCCAAACAAGTGCAAGAACCACAGAGTCAAGAATAGGTTAAATATACAAATAAAATAAAATCAATTAAAAACAATAGCACATCAACATAAAAACATAAAGCTGGAGCCTGAGGACAGTGTCCAAAAGCACAACATCACTATTAATCATAAAACACCTCAAGTTATTTGAAAGTTCTGAGGACAAAGAACACACAAACACACAATGCCTCAGTGATTAACAGAACTGTTTCACAGATCACAGAACTATATCAGGGTGTAATTTCTCAGGCAGAAATGTAGATAAAAATAATGAAATCCTGTTCCCCAAACAAGTGCAAGAACCACAGAGTCAAGAATAGGTTAAATATACAAATAAAATAAAATCAATTAAAAACAATAGCACATCAACATAAAAACATATAAACATAAATCTGAAAGCGTTGCTCAAACTCCCGTAACAGTCCCGTTATTTTATCTTTGAACCGCTTCATGTCTGCCACATGTTGGGTCGCGCACACATTTTTCAGACAGGGGAAGTGAGCTGCATCACCACCGGCAAGTTGCGTCTCCCACAATGACAGCTTCAACTTGAAAGAACGTATGCTGTCATAATACTGCGTGACAACTTTGTTGCGCCCTTGCAGCTGTTTGTTCAAGTTATTCAGGTGCTCTGTAACATCCACCATAAATGCAAGGTCCTGCATCCATTCTGCGGAATGAAATTCTAACAC